CCTCCCCGCCTTTCGACATCCGACTGGGATTAAAATCTGTCTTGAATGGTGACCAGGCATGACTAGCCAAGCGGGTCAGGTCTTGACAGCACCGCGCTCAGTCCTTGCGACCTCAGTCCTTGCGACACTTCCGCATGTCGCCTCTCGGAAACATGTTGGCGGGTTGTGATGTCTGCACCAAAAAACTCTCTACGATTTCATACGAGATTCCAGAGCAGCATCTCTCGGCTATAGCAACGTATTACGTAGCATAGCTCCGGTGGGTTTTTGGAATGCCTGCGAACCACTTGAGGCGTTATCCGTTATACTCGACAACCTAGCCCGGCTGCGAGAAGCTCCACCCAGCTGCACATCCCATACCCGCCACCTCGCTGTCACGCTGTTGCCATTGTCAATGTGAGCATTAGAAGTGGAGAAAGGAAGGAAAGGAACTGCTCTCTGTATTTCCCAGCTGCCACCACCACCATATAGAAGGGAAATACATGAATGCTGAGCCTCTAATTCTATGTCTCCCTGAACCCTAATAGTCACATGAGGATAGCCTCAGTACAAACCACTAACAGTCAATCTCACGGTTGTTGGGACCTATGCGGTGAGCATCTTGGTGGCTGTGGAGCTGATTTCAGGCTGACTGATCGTGCTAACACTAATTCTTCTGGTTAATGGGTCATTCAACCACAGATGAAGTTTGCTGACCAGCTCATCCTTAACCTAAAGAACTCCGCCAGACCGCTGGTGAACGCCTCAACCTCCGCTCGCAGTGTGATCGATGCGGAAGCCCTAAATATAGAGGAAATTAGCCCGCTATTGGCAGCTAGATGGATTTCATCAACACAGTCGCTCCGAAACATGCTGGTGGTCGGCCCCGTTCAGAACCTTGACAATGGGGCGGGAATGAGGCTAAGCAGCCCTAAGAAAAAGTGGATCTCCTTGGGTGTTTTACGCCGCATGTGGTAACACTACGGTTGTCGGCCCTTACCGCGATTCTTGCCCTCCTAGGGATTTCCACTCTCGTACTCTCACTTCTGGAGTATTGTGGCTTTGATGCCCGGCGCAAGATGACGTTGTTTGCTAATAACAGTTATCAGTTCGCGCGTTCGCAAGCCCCGAGCTCTTTCAAACACCAGGAGAGAATGGAGGTCATTGAGGACGTTCTCAAAAAATCATAGAGTAACTATAGTTTATGAGACTACTCGTGAATAGCCAAACCGTGAGCCCTCTAAAATTAGCCCAGCACAATCCATCGTTCCCTGAGAGACCCCCAATCCTGAACCCTTTAGTCAATTCCTTAAAAACTGCTTCTTACGTTTCGCTATCCTCCCCCCTTTATAATCCTCCTAGTCTTTATTGGAATCGCCGCTCTATACCACCACCTACTAGAACCCGGAAGGAGAATCTGGGAGTCTTTGGGGGGGTGGTTCCTTGCGCAACAGTCTCACCGGCATTCCGGTGGAACATAGCGGAGAGCACGCAGTGGCAGAGCACCGTAATGTGCACCCCCCTTTTTTGGGCTAGCTTCCCTCTAGTTGTCCATTTTTTTCCGCAGAGCATAGAAGTTACAATCATTTAGCCCCTTATCTTTCTCCACCCCAAAACTAGCCATACCCCCTGTCCCAGTATCCCCTTAATTCAGGTTATCCCCATCAATACTATCCCTTTATGTGAATAGAGTTCCCTCGATCAGGGTTCTGTCTCTGTCAAGATATCCCATCCAGGATCTTGACAGCTGCGCTCAGCATATGTTGTTGTTTTTCCTCCATAGTTCCAGCGAATAGCAATGTTCTGCAGGCCATAGCCTAAAGTTTTGCATGAGTTTCCGAGATGGCCATAAACCGGGGGAGTTCCTTCACCTGTTATAGATCCGAATATCTCTCCGATAAAACACTAGTATCCTGATATTGTATAGCGAATTCCCGGGTTCAGTAATGTGGAGGGAGGGCTGGGCGTTGGCCGTTTCTGATAATTAATTAAATTTAGGTATCGGGAGTGTGGTAGAGTTCGCATGTCGTGAACAAAGAAGAGAAGTTGTAGAATCATAACGATCAGAAACCAATCATTACAGCTTTTGTAAACACCCAAGTCTAACTTCTCCGGTATGCACGGCCTAAGGTTAAGTAGCATCCGGCCTCGGAAGTAAACCACACAATACCGCTAACTGCCAATGAATATAAGGCCATAGACGAATGAGCATACGTATATCGCTCATATACCTCCACCAGAACCCCACGTAGAATCGCAGTGTTGTGATCGGTTGGGGATTCTGGGTATTGAAGTGCTTTGCATTCCACTGTGCTTGCTTTGCTCCAGTACACGCCCACCTACGCTAGTTATAATCATCCTACCACCATTGGCAGAGGGGGATGTGTAAGCCGATGTGCTGATACCGCGAAAATTCCGATAGAAGTTGTGTATACACTATCCCCTCTTTCTCATAGCAAGGTCGGTTGTATTGTACTTTTTATACTCTTTCCAACCGAGGACTGAGAGAAAGTACCTCACCCTAACCTCCCCCCTTGACCGGAGGAGGGAAATTCTGAACGCCCGAGCTTTATAACTCGCATGGTATGGGTTCTCGGACTTTGGGCTCAAGTCTAGTACGTCCGTCAACTCTTCTGTCGGTATGGGTGGGGATCATGAAACGGCCCGTTTGGCTAGATTTTTAGTTGTACCACAGTTCTCGAATACAGGTACGCGTTCCACGATGGAGGTATTAGAAATCGCGATCACCGGCCGCAGTGAAACGAACGAGTGACTAGCTGTGATTCACAACAATCGCCAAGAGCTGACTAAAAAAAGATTCATCGCACAACCCAGGGGCGGGGAAAATTCTTCACTTCTCTTCTACTACTCTCTCATACACACTCGCTCTCCACCCTCTTTATTCTCTATCGGGCGCACACACTAACTAACATCAACTAAGAGGAAAGACAGAAGCATATATCATCAACGAGCGACGCACGACAAACCGCAAACCAAATCCTCTGGCCCCCCACAGGTAAGTCTTCCACTGAGTAGCAAACAGTAAAGCTAACAAAGGAAAGACAAACTTCCACCGTCTATCCATAGCCTCCGCCAGGCTTCTCTGCTTCCCTTCCGTCGATCACTTTCCTTCCATGCGCATCCAAAACCTCCGCGCTCCACCACCGAAATGCTTTCCTGGCACCGCAAAACAGAACAAACTCATGGTTCCCCCCCCCCGGCCCGCCCCCAGGTGAGTCCCCTGTACATAAGCAAACCAAAGCTAAAAGAAGAACAGGACAAACTTCGTGCTCCCCCCGCGTTTTCCTCCCGCCGTGCGCTCTTCTCGTGCTTTTCCGCTGTGCGCTGCCTTTGCGCTCTTCCACCGTGCGCTCTTCCCATGCGCTGTCAAAGTGCTTCCTCGAAAGCTAAATAAACAATCAACGCGAACGAACAAGCAAACCACGGGGATGGGGGGGAAGAGGGAAAGGGGTGGAACGAGAAGAATGAGGGGAGGGGGAAAAGCGAGCACGTCGAGCAGCATCTCGCCATTTCGAACAGGAGGGCCATTGTGGAACCCCAGATTACGCTCGATCAGTCCGGGGATAACCCAGAGTGAGGTACGGGATACCCGCTGATCCTCACTAACCTCACCATCGAAGGTTTACGAGAAGGATCTCCAACTCACTAACGCAAGACCCCATCGCTGCACTGAGTCAATATTGAACAGAGAATTTTCACAAGCATCGTGGTCTAGTAATACCTGGTGGCTATTCACCCCACGACCCACAATATCAGTAGCCAGCTCGGGCCCCGAGAGCGTTCAACGCGGCGATGCTCGCACAAATTATTCCAGCAAATTGAATACCGAGGTTAGATGCTCGAGAATATGGTGGGTATGGGCCGAAAATATAGGCCGCAGAAGTAATTGGTGGTGTGTGCTGTTACCAACCGTGCAACGAGTGTTCAAGATCCTCAAATTTGCGGAGATTCCGGCGGATATCTGTGGGTTACCTAGCAGCAATGCCGCGCCGCTATATCTGGGGTTTGTTGTCGCGGCGACCCCGTATGGGGGACCGGGGGTTGTTATTCCTTCAGAGATATCTTGGATCGCCCCAAAGGCCGGCGTAGTACCGATGCTTGTTCACCGGAGAAAACACCGGGTTGTGTTCGTGACAACATGATCCAAGAATTCGGTTAAACGCAGTAGACGGCTGTTGTCAATCCATATACCGAGTGACTATCTATGGCCCGAAGATGCCGCTCTCGCCATTCATGACACGAAAACCGTTGGGTATCATACCACAGGCACTATAGCCCCCCCCTCCCGAAAGCGAAAAAATAGATATCTAATTTGGGTTAGCCCGCAAAGTAATCCCTGTCTTTGGCGAAAGAATTAAAGCTGGATTGAGTTATTATACCATTGGAGATGTCTCTCCGAACAAGCGTTAGGAGTAATACTTGACACTCAAGGGCATGTTGAAATTATTATTGAGGAGAATTCGCTGACGCGACTCTGGTATACCGTTCATAGTTTTGCTAGTGGGGGATGAGCGTTGGGTGTCCTGATTGTGTTGAATGTGGAGGCGATGAGATCGGAATCCTGAATAGAGCGGCGCCCCAAAGCATTGGGGCTGTGATTGTGGCAAGAGGTGGTGGAAGCAAAAAATGCTATTTAGGCCATGTTACCCACCCACAAGTTCGGGGTACCAAAATTTCCCAACATGGCTACTTGTATACTGCGCGGAACTAGCTCTCAACCCCGATCACCGTCACTTCGGGCCACGATAACACTTGGACGGTATCTGGGGAACTCAGGCTGTATATTACTCAAGACATTAGATGTTCATAAATTTTGCTCTAACGATACAACTACAATACTTATTCCTATTCTCCCTCTCCGCTCTCAGACTACGGATGTACCGCTTTTCATACCCTTCCAGATTCCGCTCCTCTATGTTTAAAGAATCTTTCCAAACAGGGCTCCCCAACCCAGGGATATCGCCATTGCCGACACCCGCTCTCATGACCGGTATACTACTTCACGTCCACAAATACACCACAAAGGTAGCAACTATCAAACAAAGGGTGGCCACCTTGGGGGCTAGAACCATCAGGCCGGCTGACTTCTCACCACCCCCCTCTTCCATGCCAGAGTTGGAGCCCGTGTTTCTCGCGCCAGATCCAGAAGAACTAGAACCTGTGCTCCCGGTGCCAGAACCGGAGCTTGTGCATTTATCGGCCGGCGGAATCTAATTGGTATTTAGTAGAGATATGCAAGAGCTGAAAATGTTTAGCTAACCTTCTCTAGATAATGAACGACGCCATTCTTGGAAATGACATTGGGCGTGGAGATCCGGACGCCATTGACGAGTATGTCCTTGCCACTTCGTTTAATTCTCAACGAGCCATCGCCCCTCGTCTTCAAGCAGAGACCATCGCTCAAGTCAGGAGAGTATGAAAGGCCCTCGGAGATGAGTCGGCTCAAATCGGACGACCCCGGCAGATTTGTTTCATTTAGAAGGGAGTCCTGGACGGCGAAGACGGTCACCATTCGTTTTTCCGATAGCTGCGTCAACATATCCGCCTTCTGAAGAGCTGTGGACCACAAGCGGCCGCTAGTGTTCCCAAAAGTAGTTTCAATCGCGTGCGGAAGAGTGAAGAACCTTCGACACCTTTAGTTCACGCGAGCCATACAGGAGTTGAGTTGTCTACTTACCCGTCGCATTTCTTGATGACACCACCCTGAAAGGGTATTTCACCCGCATGCACTAACGTCGAATTCCCAAATCCAGAGGTGACGTGCACCGTACCGTTCTCATTACTCGAAGGATTTGAGACCACGCGAGCTCCTTCGCCAGGGCCGAGATCGACGTATTTTGTTTCACCCACGAGAGACGTCTTGAGGGTGGTCGACACGCGCCTGATATCTGGAGCGCCCTTCGGTTTCTCGGCAAACTGCTGGCTCGTGTTCGGGTCGACCAAGACCTTTCGGCGAGGAAAACGCCCGGGGCCCTGCTGCATACGGCGGAGGAAGGCTATAATGAACTCCGTAGTGGGTGCGAAGACGTAGTACTCTTTCCCTTCCCCGAGGCCTTCAAAAACGGATGGTGCCTTCGCCAAAAGCTCACCGAAAGCTTTGGTATCAGGATCCTTCGCGAGTGCTGCAAGCAGGGCGTCTTTGAAGCTGCTGGGGGCGGGCTTGTGATTAGAAACCGTTTGGAGGGGAAGGACCTCGCCTGAGTAGGTTAAGGTCACTGGGTTGTTGGAGATTGTGGCGGTGATGAGGCCATGGGTGGTGGGGACCGGTGCGGCTTCCTTAGGTGCCGCAGAATCTTCGTTGACCGTAGGGTACGAAGAGGGCTCTGGGCGTTTGGTGGAGAGCCCCTCAGATGACTGCTTGCTTCCGTTGGAGCCCGAGGTTTGACTTGGATTGGAGCTCGGGGGCTGGCTTGCAGTGGGGCTTGAAGGTGGGGTTGTAATGCGGCTCGAGGCTTGACTTACGTTAGGACTACCGAGCTGACTTGGGTTGGAGGTTCCGGGTTGACCTGGGTTGGAGTTCCCCGGCTGACTTGGGTTCGAGGTTCCCACTTGACTTGGGCTGGAGCTCCCGGGCTGACTTTGGTTGGGGGTCCCAGCTTGGCTTGGGTTGGAGTTCTCAGGTTGACTTGGGCCGGAGGCCCGGGGCTGATCTGGGTTGGAGGTCCCCGGTTGACTTGGGTTGGAGCTTCCCGATTGACCTGAGTTGGAGCTTCCCGGTTGACTTGGGCTGGAGCTTCCGGATTGACTTGGGTTGGAGCTTCCTGGCTGATCTGGGTTGGAGGTGCCCGG